TCTGGGATGCGGCCGCTGCACGACTAAGTGAACGGTCTGGTCGAACCGGTAACCAGGCGATCTATCCAGCTGTGTTATGTTATCCCGCTGACCGTGACTCATTCGTTCCCAGCTATGCCGGCAATGTCTCGAATATTCACCGTGCCCACCTCCTCCGGCGAAGAATACACACTGACCCTCCACGAACCGTCACTAACTGCGGATAACCTCGGTATGAAGACCTGGGTATCTTCGTATCTTCTCTCACGCCGGCTTCACAATCTTGGATCGCCGCCAGCACTTGTCACCTCCTCGGCTACTCCCTCCACATTGAAACCCCAGAAACCTCTGCGGGCACTCGAACTCGGTGCCGGAACGGGCTTGGTCGGGCTTTCCTTTGCTGCCCTGCAAGGCGAGTCTGCAACCGTTCACCTCACCGACTTACCCGAGATTGTCCCCAACCTCGCTCACAACGCTGCCTTGAACGTAGAACTCCTCAACAGAACCGGGGCGACTGTAACCACCGGCTTGCTTGACTGGTCTGTCACACCGTCGCCCCTTCCAATTGCGGAAGAGCAGTTTGATGTGATTCTCGCGGCGGATCCACTGTACTCGCCCAAACATCCTAAATGGTTGGTGGACACCATTAAGCCCTGGCTTAGCCGTGCGCTTGATGCGCGAGTCGTGGTGGAGATGCCGCTACGAGATGCATATTTGCCGCAGGTGAATGAGTTCCGGCAGCGGATGGGCGAGTTGGGCCTGGCTGTGGTTGAGGAGGGCGAGGAGGTCGGTTACGATGACTGGGAGAGTGCGGATGGAGGCGCACTGGCTGTCAACTGCTGGTGGTCGATTTGGGGATGGAGTGAAAAGGTATAGTGGCGGTACTACCAGGTCATATTGGGAATGGTGACCAAACGAAATGACGATAATAGACGATACACGATATATTAGAAATAGGGATTCCTATATACATAGACATTGGTTATTGAGCAATGCAAACCTTGGAAACGAATTTCTCGTTTCACTTTTTAGTAGAATCAACTTGATGAACCAGGAACATTGTTGGTCGTTGGTAAAAGAGGAGCTGATCATCACGTGGCGATGACGTCGGGGGCACATCTCATGTCCAGTGGACTTCTACCTTGATCTATGTTTCTAAGATTCATTAATACCAACAAGAAGAATGGCTTATTTTTATATCCATTCACAGAGAACAGCTATTCTCTATACCCGTATGGTCAGTCAATAGCCTAGCGTCATTCAAATCAAGCAAGTCATGCTAATGCGACAACAGAGCATAGTCCAGGCTCCAGACCAAACTGCTACAACAGCCGCGAATTCCTGAAATCTGATATATCAAGCTGCTATTGATAGCCAGCCAGATCTAACGACGAAAATTGCAATCGCATATACCACCAAACATCTGCGCAATGATTGGACTTCTAGCCCTTACCTCCATCCCAACGGTGACAGGTGTCTCCCTCGCTTCTAGCGAGCAGCGCAAAGCAAACCAGCGCAAAGAAGATGCACGTCGCATGGTGAAGTTCAACATCGTAGCAGAATGCGATGGCGACACAGATGATGACCGCGAATTGAACGGCATGACTGTTGTTGTAAGAGACGAGAAGGTAAGTAAATCCAATGCAAACAGGATTAAAAGTCTACAGGAACCTCACAATCCCTCCGAATAATATTTTAATCAGAGCTCAAATTAAAGACCACATAGACTAACACTTTTACCCTCCACAGGTCTACCTCGCCGACCCAGATTCCTCCAAACGGTCCCCGCCAGCTTTCACAGCCCTGGCCTTCTATATCGAGTACCCAGAACCGGAAGAATTGAAATATCTCAAGCGCGAGCGTGGCCTCGGCCTGCCGACTTACGTTCAGGACAACCCGCCCCTTCTTAACTGGATCTACGCAGATAAGGAAACGCATGAGTTGCGGTACGGGAATCGGTCGCAGAGCGTGGAGCAGCTGGTCGAGCCGTGGGACTGGTGTAAGAATGAGAAGTACATTTTGCTCGAAAAGAAGCAGAATGCTTTCATTGCGGTTGAAGAGGAGGAGGGTCAATGGGCGCTTCATTATGATCGGGATGGCGATGAGCTTGCGCGCGTTCTTGAGGAGCAGGGACTGTTGGATTGTGCTTTTGTGCCTGTCAAATTGGTGAGGAAGGTTGTTGAGGAGAAGCCGCCGCCGCCGCCGCCGCCACCTCCTGCTGCTGCTGCTCAGGCTGCTCAGGCTGCAGCTCCCCAGGTTCAGGGGAATGGTCAGAGCCAGAAGTAGATGGATTGGGAGCTGGACAACCGTTATGATTGAGCCGGACTTTTTTGTGTATATACTTGATGAGATGACTTAATGCATTTATGATTCGATCATGATTATGGGAATACCACGGTAGTAACCTTGGAATATTTTAGTGTACAGAGAAAAATTGGACATTTAATCATCCAGTCCAGCCCAGCTACCAGTGTCGCTGACGTTGCCACTAACCGCTGCGGCAGCCTTCCTGTTGCGACTGGCCGCAATAGCACCCCTTTTGTTATTCTCCATGCGACGTTCAAAGCCACTCTTGGTACTAATTCTCATACCACGGGCACCCTTTCCATCATCCTCCTTATCGGTCAATCTTGGGGCCTGGCGCGCCTTGACACCATGCCTCTTCATATCCTTCTTGCTGTTCTTGCTTAGGTTCGGCAGAGCGTCGAGCAGCCATTTCTGGATGGACTTCTCGCCCTCTTCGCCGCCGCGTAGCTTCTCGCTGACGTCGATGATGTTGGCAATGCTCTTCACGTAGGGAATGTCTTCCTTAGTGTAGTAGGTGACAGCGATACCGCCCTCGCGACCAGCGCGGCCGGTTCGCCCCACGCGGTGAACGTAGACGGCGGCTGAGTTGGGGATATCGTAGTTGACCACGCCATTGATACCGCGGAAGTCGACGCCACGGGCTAGCAGATCCGTTGTAACCAAAATCCAGATCTCGCCTTTGCGGAAATCGCGCATGATATCGGAACGTTGGCCATCTGAGAGATCTGAATGAAGAACCGCAATACGTGAGGATCCACCTGCTTCCGCGGGGATATCGTATTTGAGTTCGGAGTGCAGAGCCACCGCACGAGGAATGGTCTGTGTGAAAATAAGGAAGGGAGGGCGGAGGCGGATATCTGAGGCTGAGGCTGCAGCCGGGCGAAGAAGTTGACGAAGTCCCATTAGTTTACCTTGTTCTGTTGCTGCGTACACAAGTTTGTGGTCAATGTTGGGGATTGCAGAGTCTTTCAATCCTACAACCAGACGAAGTAGTGGATGTGGCTCGCTTGGCTTTTGTCCCATATCTTCCAGTCGCTCTCTGATGGTCGACTTGGTGAGATCCTCGATATTGGATCCCATGGTAGCTGACCAAAGGCCGACACGCAGGTCGGGATGTGAGCACGCTTTCCAGATATCGAGTGTCTGTTCCCGGAACAATGGGTCCAGGAGAACATCGGCTTCGTCCATGACCAGACTCCGCACTAGAGGTAATGTTGCCACGGTGGTCGTCCGATTCGCAGATAGAGCATTAACCAACATTAGAGGTGTAGTGACGAGAATATCACTCTTGGTGACCCGGATGTTGGCTCGCTCCTTTGCTGGCTTGCTTTCGGCACCTTCATCTTCGGACCCGGATGATTCTTCGCTGTTCTCGTCAAGAACATTGCCATCACCATTATCTCCAACACGCATACCCTTTCTCATAAGCGTGATCTTCACGCCAGTTCCAGCCACTAGCTTGCGGCCCTCGTTGACAATCTGGCTTGCAAGCTCCCTGGTGGGCGCCACAACTACAGACAAAATACCATGCTCGTCCGGGTTTGAGTGGTGGTGTCGAACAATTTTGTTGATCACAGGGATCAAGAATGACAACGTCTTGCCGCTGCCGGTGGGAGCAACGACCAGAAGATCTGGCTCGGAAGACTCTCCAAGAAGCAATGGAAGGCTTCCAAGCTGGACCTCTGTAGGTACGGTAAAACCTTGCTCTGCAACATTCTCTGCAAGCCGCGAGGAGATCTTGTATTTGGACCGAAGTTCCTTGAAGTTAAGTAGAGGCTCCGGGAACAAGCGTCTGGCACGCTTCTGCTCCTTCTTACTGAGAGTCGGCGCCTCTTCTTTCTTTGACTTCTTCTTCTTTTTCTTGGACTCTTTGGTAGACGTAGGCTGGACTTGGATCTCTTCCAAGTCGCGCATGTCCGTAACCTTGATCTTGTGTGAGTTCAAGATAGTGCGACGCTCCACTTCATCCATGGAATCGTCGTCATCGGATGCGGCATCCTGAGCAGACACTTTCTCAGCGTCCTCGGTCGCAGCAGCGGTTTCCGTCACACTAGCTGCAGGGCGCTTGTTTGAACTGAAAAAGTCGAGTTCAGGGACATCTTCCTCGTCCTGTTGGATGGCAGCGCCTCTCTTTCTTTTTTTGCCATTCTTGGCAGACTCGAGCTTGTCGGTCTCCGCCGTCCGGAAAAGCTGCGGGTTAGCTGCTTTCCCGGTGGATGGCAGACGAGAGTCCGAGGCCGAGGAGGTAGGCTTTAATTTTGTTGACCTGGTCAACAATCTGAACGCATCCATATCTTTTGTGGTTGAGTCGAAAATGTCGATGATATTCTGAAAAGAAAAAAAAGTGGTCCGCCGACTTTCCTCCCGGACCAATCAGCGTTGAGCGTTATATATGGCCGCCGCCGAGGAAAAATAACAAGAGGATAAACCACAGATGAAGTGTCTGAACATAAGACATATATGATATCAGGACTATATTCATACCTAGGGGATCCGGGTCATGATTACAGAGAGGTGTGGGAAGAATAAGGATAGCCGAAGTCAATAAACCTTTAGATTACAGTAGCTTTTAGAGCACAAATAGCACAGGAATGAATTGCAATGACAAGGTCTATCTCAGACAACAGTTTAAATTCCATCGTCTATCATACACAGCGCGGGACGATTAACATATGAAAGAAAGGAAAGGACGATTCTCATCTATCGACATCCATTTAGTGCGCGTGCGCAGGCTCGCCACGGTAACCAATAATGTTCATCCGACCGATCATCTCGCCAACAGTGAAGAAGCCAATGACCTCAGCGGCAGTGACACCGGCGAGGGCGAGCTGCTTGGGGCTGGCGTTGCGGATAGAGGCGAGGATAGACGAGGGGGAGGGGAGGGTCTTGAGGGCGGCAGGGTTGGTGATGAAAGGCTGGAAGTAGGACTGGAAGGTGGCCAGGTTGCTAGGAGGAATTGTTAGGTCGGGAGTAAAGAATCGAGTACGGGGTCCGACTTACGGAGGAGCCATGTTCTGGCCACGGAACACCAGTCTGCCGAGCTCAATTCCGACCTTGGAGTAGTAGATGGTAGGAGGGATCATGGCTATTGATTGACGGTTAGTTGTGCACGTTCGCGAACGTAACCCGCGGATTGAGGTCAACAAGGAGGTTGGGACTGGGCGCCACGATTCCAACCGGATCAATCGGTCAATCGTTGCCTTTTTTCTTTTAATAAGTACCCAATGTCCAACGCTCCTTTGTAGCCATCCGGACGGGAGAAGAGGAGTGTCCCTTACAATCGACGAAAGAGATGACCTTGCCGGCGGGTCCACCGATCTTGCGCAGGGCACCAGCGGCATTCGCGAGGGCAGGGCCAGCGGAGGCAGAGACCTTGGACAGACCCGCAGAGGCCTTGGAGGCAGCTGAGGAAGCAGCCTCACCAGCCTTAGTGGCAGCCTCCGAGGTGGAAGAGGCGTGTCTGACGGCGGTTCTCCGGGTCAGGAACTGCGATTGCCGCAGGACGGCACGGGTGACGGCGGGCATTTTGAATGTTGTGGAGGAAATGAGTGGAAAAGAGGAGGGAAGCAAAGGACACCCGAAGCAGTTGCTAATAGGAGGGCAGTATGATCTAATGATCTGGAGAATCGCGCAACGGAGAACCAGATGAAGATTTGACGCTCGGGAACTTCAGGAATTACGGGTCACGTGAGTCGCCGTTTATCCCAAGTAAACAATTTACTTTTCTGGAATATAAATTTGGAGGAGATGTAAGGCTTTATGGATTTACTTTTGGATATTGAAGCGCTAGAAGGTGTCAACCTGAAAGTGGATGGTAACCTGAGCACCTTGTTATAGCATTGTACATTCATACCTACATCCGGCCTTGCCAGTCGAATCACAACCGGCACTTCACTCCGGATGGTAGAAATAAGTTGATAATTTTTTTCCTTCTAGACGGATTGATGAATATATGGGCTTCTACGGTGTGATAAATGCTCCGTAGATTTAATTTTCAAAAAAATACGCACATCGAAGCCATTGTAAGCCAAAATATATAAACGCAATATTTTGTATGGAGTATAGATACACTAATTGTTCCACCAGTCAGTAAGATTGAGTCCAGATTTCCAAAATCCGATGCAATTAATGCATCAAGGACAACAGATAAATGGTATATTGAGCAAAAAAAGCGAGATTAGAGTGGAATTTACTATAAGAAAAAGCGACTAGCGACCTATAAGCCAGAGAGAATGGTCCAACCAACATAGAAGCTACCCAGGGAAGTATCAGTATAAAGAGCAAATATACTAGGGGCTTATGCATAATGCTACAGCACTTAAACCATAAATCTGTTAGATATCTACATGCATAGCTGCCTCCTGTATTCTTCATCGTCACCTTACAATTGTGACACCACTAGACAACCGTAGTAGTCGGTCCAACGAAAAATAGCACAGGATGAGCCTAGGGTTGAATTTGTCTCACACAATACTACCTCCATGTAGGTAGTGAAATAGGAAGAGTTGTTACGCAGCTCCTCACTGCCTATGATATATCCGAGAAATTGATTGCTAGATCCTGGTAGGCGCGTAACACGAAGCATGCAGAGATTCGAGTATGGTGAGACAAATTGTATCTACCTATGCATGTTGTACATGTAGACATCGTATATAGTAGAGACTTTCATGGATGTAAAGAATAGACATTGCCTGTGGCTGTAAAAAGGTTTGCACTGTTTGTCTCGGAAAAATGAATTCATCTCCGCCGGAGAATTGCCTCTCTTGTTGATGCAATGGGTTCTCACCTTGACCGCATTATTTACTTGACCCAGAGACACCCCAGATTGATTTCTGAACCGAACCAAGATAACATGAGAAAATAGCCCTGGAGGAAATCAGAACCGGGAGCCTTCAGCACAATATTAACCGATCGCCGATTAACATTCGGCCCGAGATCGAGAGCGGGCAAGGATTGCCTCATTCAGACGGAAAAAGCAGTTGGACCCCCGCGCGGTTAAATCGAAAGCCCCTCCACTCCACTTTTCGCTACTCCATATGTATCACCGTGGGGTGAACAATATGAGATCACCGGACATTGATGCGGTTCGAGTATTAAAGTGGCTGTTTCCTCGCATTTAGGCATTTGTTCTCCATTTTCTTCCTCTCCCCTCTCCCTCTCCCTCTCCCTCTCCACACTATACAATGACTTCCGCAACAACTGTCACTAAGACCAACATCGGTGTCTACACCAACCCAAACCATGACCTCTGGATCGCCGAATCCAACCCGACAGTAGAGGACATCAATTCTGGCAAGGGCCTGAAGGCTGGCGAGGTCACAATTGAGGTGCGCAGCACTGGTATTTGTGGATCCGATGTGCACTTCTGGCACGCCGGTTGTATCGGCCCAATGATCGTCAAGGGCGACCATGTCCTCGGCCACGAATCAGCCGGCCAGATCATTGCTGTCGCCCCTGATGTCACCCACCTCAAGGTCGGTGACCGCGTTGCCGTTGAGCCCAACATTATCTGTAACGCCTGCGAGCCCTGTCTGACCGGCCGCTATAACGGTTGCGTGAATGTTGCTTTCCTCTCCACACCGCCCATCGATGGCCTGCTCCGGCGGTACGTCAACCACCTTGCCATCTGGTGTCATAAGATCGGCGATATGAGATATGAGGACGGTGCTATGTTGGAGCCCCTTAGTGTGTCCTTGGCGGCTATCGAGCGCAGCGGTCTGCGTCTCGGTGACCCGCTGCTCATCACTGGTGCCGGTCCCATCGGCCTGATCAGTTTGCTCAGTGCACGCGCTGCTGGTGCCTGTCCTATTGTCATCACTGACATTGACGAGGGCCGTTTGGCGTTTGCTAAATCTCTAGCTCCTGAAGTGCGCACTTATAAGGTGGAAATTGGCAAGTCCGCGGAAGAGTGCGCGGACGGTATCATCAATGCCTTGAATGATGGTCAGGGTTCTGGCCCTGATGCCCTGCGCCCCACGCTGGCCCTGGAGTGCACTGGTGTCGAGATCAGTGTCAGCTCCGCCATCTGGAGTGTCAAGTTCGGTGGCAAGGTGTTTGTCATCGGTGTCGGCAAGAACGAGATGACCATTCCCTTCATGCGTCTCAGCACTCAGGAGATCGACTTGCAGTACCAGTACCGCTACTGCAACACCTGGCCTCGAGCCATCCGGCTGGTTCAGAACGGCGTGATCGATTTGCACAAATTGATTACTCACCGCTACTCTCTTGAGAACGCTCTCGAGGCCTTTGAGACCGCTGCTAATCCCAAGACTGGCGCCATCAAGGTGCAGATTATGAGCTCTGAGGAAGATGTCAAGGCCGCCACTGCTGGCGAGAAGTTTTGAACGAAGAGAGTAAAAAGATGAGCGGTATCTGAGAGCATTAGTGGGTTTCTGGTTGGGGTCAAGAGCGGCCGTTGGCGTTGGCGATTTTCTTTCTATATTCACGAATGATGTCTAGAGGATGCCATTGGGTAGAATAGAAAGCACATGAAATGGCTATTTGACATAATCTTTGGTCGATGCGATGAAGAAGGTAGAAACTGTAGAGGCACAATTGTCAATGTAACAGATGGGGACCTTGCAAGTCAACCAAGTCAAACCCTCCCCCGACGTCATTCCCGGCAATAAGCCGGGCTAATACTGGGGAAATAACAGCAACAATCAAAAATGGGGTAAAAAATGGACCCTGCAGCGTGAATCCGGAGCTACTGGAGCTAGGGTACCTTGTATAGGCCCGAAACCCGGGGATGGCGCACAGCCAAGAGGGACCGTCCGATAATTGCCCGTCTCCCCGCGCAAACGTTTGACGATGCAACTGAGCAATATGTCAATTCCAGCTAATCATGTGGAAAACAAACAGTTTTCTCGCGTATCCCCTTGATTCATGTTGCATCACTCCCCACCACCCCTCACTTCAGATCCCGGCCACTGCATCCTTTAAAAGGTGCACTGTCCCTCCTACATCTTGAGTGTATCCTGCTGTGCTCATCTTGTGCTTCTTCAGTGCTCGCCCGATTTTAAACATGAAAGGCGCACTGCTTTTCCTGGCTCCCCTCGTGGGAGCCGCCGTCCTGGGATCGACATCTCAGCTTGACCATTGTCCTGGCTACAAGGCTTCCAATGTGAAGCAGTTGGGCCAGACATTGACTGCTGACCTTAGTCTTGCTGGAGATGCCTGCAATACCTATGGCACTGATCTTCCAAACCTGAAGCTCCTCGTGGAGGCTCAAACTGGTATGCTTCTTCATCATTCCCAAGTGAATGTATACTCATAATTCTATAAGAAACCCGTCTCCATGTCATCATCTATGATGCCGATGAGGAGGTCTACCAAGTTCCAGAATCTGTTCTCCCCAGACCCTCGAGCGCAAAAGGTCACCAAAAGGAGCCCGCTCTTCGCTTCGACTTCGAAGAGAAACCTTTCTCATTCCGCGTTCTGCGTGGGGACGAAGTTCTCTTCGACACTACTGATACAAAGATCATCTTCCAGTCCCAGTACTTGAACTTGCGCACTTGGCTCCCCACTGATCCTAACCTGTATGGTCTGGGTGAACACAGCGATTCGCTGCGTCTACCTACCACAAACTATACTCGCACGATCTGGAACCGTGACGCATATGGCATCCCCTCCAACACGAACCTTTACGGTACTCATCCTGTCTACGTTGATCACCGCGGAGAGAATGGTACTCATGGGGTGTTCTTCTTGAATTCGGATGGAATGGATATCAAGATTGACAGGACTGCTGATGGCAAACAATACCTCGAGTACAACACCATCGGCGGAGTCCTTGACTTCTACTTCATGGCCGGTCCTACTCCCAAGGAAGTGAGCGAGCAGTACTCGGAGGTCGTTGGCCTTCCTGCTATGCAAAGCTACTGGACGTTTGGAGTATGTCATTTCTAACTTGAATGTTTTGAGAAGTAATATTCTGATCAGTATTCCTTTAGTTTCACAACTGTCGGTATGGTTACCAGGATGTATTTGATGTCGCCGAGGCAGTTTACAACTACAGCCGTGCCGGAATCCCACTCGAGACCATGTGGACCGACATCGACTACATGAGTGGTCGAAAGGTATTTACTCTAGACGATGAGCGGTTCCCTCTAGAGAAGATGCGCGAGTTGGTTTCGTACCTTCACAAGAACGACCAGCACTATATTGTCATGGTCGATCCGGCCGTCAGTGCCTCTGGTAAGGGATAATTACTTGTTCCCCTCTCACTTCTGCTCTAACCCTGTGTGTTACCAGATAATGGTGCTTACAAACGAGGTCACGACGAGGGTGTCTTCCTGTACCGTGACGACGAGCGTAGCGAACTCTACAAAGGTGAGTTTACCATCAGAAGCACAATTCCCACCTTCCTAACGTAATCTAGGCGTCGTCTGGCCTGGCCCAACCGTCTACCCAGACTGGTTCAACGAAGACACCCAGAAATACTGGAACTCGGAATTCAAGCGATTCTTCAACCCCAAAGACGGTGTCGACATCGACGGTCTCTGGATCGACATGAACGAAGCTTCCAATTTCTGCCCATACCCCTGCACGAGCCCAGAACAGTTTACCAAGGATGACGACTTACCCCCTGCGCCTCCGGCAGTCCGATCGCCTCCCCGCCAGATCCCCGGTTTCCCGGCTGATTTCCAGCCTGGGTCTTCCTCCTCTGGGGCTTCTCTGTCGCAGCGTGTGAAGAGAGGTGATGTTGCTGTCGAGAAACGTAGCATCAACGAGAAACGGAGCCAGGGTGGAAAGGGACAAAAGACTGGCTTGTCTGGTCGCGACCTCATTAACCCGCTCTATCAGATCGCAAACGAGGCTGGCTCGATTAGCAACAAGACCATTGATACTGATCTCATTCATGCTGGCGAGGGTTACGCCGAGTACGACACACACAATCTTTATGGAACTAGTGAGTCCCCTGTGTTTACTATCAATAACCTTTCTAACAATAACCTAGTGATGAGCTCGGCTTCCCGCGAGGCAATGTTGAAGCGTCGACCCCAGGTGCGACCTTTGATCATCACGCGTAGCACCTTTGCCGGAGCAGGCTCCCACGTCGGCCATTGGTAATATCAACAAATCCCAAATCAGTACCATAGAATATGCTAACCCAATCCCAGGCTCGGCGACAACTTGAGCCAATGGGATAAACTGCGCGTGTCCATCCCGCAGATGCTAGCCTTCGCCTCGATTTACCAAGTCCCAATGGTCGGCAGCGACGTCTGCGGCTTCGGCGGAGACACGACGGAAGAGCTTTGCGCGCGCTGGGCCATGCTCGGCGCCTTCTCTCCGTTCTACCGGAACCACAACTCGCTCGGCAACCTGGCCCAGGAATTCTACCGCTGGCCCGTTGTCACCGAGGCCGCGAAGAAGATCATCGATATCAGATACCGTCTGCTCGATTACCTCTACACTTCGTTCCACCAGCAGACCTTGACGGGTAGCCCGTTCCTCCAGCCGCTCTTCTACGTCTACCCGGAGGACAGCAAGACCTTTGGCAACGAGCTGCAGTTCTTCTTCGGTGATTCCATTCTCGTCTCGCCTGTCTTGGATGAAGGCGCCAACTCGGTCGATGCCTATTTCCCCAAGGATCTGTTCTACGATTGGTTTACCGGTCTTGCGGTGCAGGGCGATGGATCCGTCAAGACGATTACCGATCTCGCGGTTACCGATATCCCGATCCACATCCGTGGCGGGAGCATCATCCCCCTCCGTACGGAGAGTGCCAAGACCACGACGGAACTGCGCAAGCGCGGCTTTGAGATTCTCATTGCGCCTGGTGCGGATGGATCCGCGGCGGGTGAGCTGTACCTTGATGATGGCGAGTCGATCGAACCGGCTAGTGCTGCAGAGATTCAGTTCCAGTACAAGAATGGCAAGCTCAAGATCCTGGGCCGGTTCGGGTATCACCCTAATGTGGTTATTGAGGCTGTTACTCTGCTCGGACAGAAGAATAAGCGTCGCGACGTTGAATACGATGCTCAGAGACAGAGCATTACAAAGAAGGTCGACATCAAGTTGACTGGACCTGCTGAGGTGACTTTGTGAGTTTCCTACAGTGCATCGGTGATATTAGGAGGAGGTTGAATTATGGATAGTCTTTGAGGTAGTCGGGCTCTTTTTTTAGAAAGTGGGATCCATGGTCGCCTGGAGGTTATTTTTCCGGGGCCACCACATTCTTCCAAGGTTTCGGTACCTTGTAGTACTCCAATGCCACGTTTTACTCAAGTTTGATCTTAATTTAGGGGTCTCAGCCATGGATCAATAATGTGTGTTGTAAGCGAGTATTTTACTCGGCAAGATGAGTCGACACGGTGATTGGATAGATTGAGTAATGTTCCTGCATGCTAGCCCCATAGCCAAGGCGAGTTCATAGCCAAGCAGACGAGTGAGTTAGCAATTGTGTAAATATGACTAATAATTCAGGGTCTGAAAGGCAACCCCAAACCAATAACCCCTTGCATGACCTTGCATGAGAGGAGGTGGAGGTTAGGAGGGAGAAAGACACTGCCTGGATACAATGAAATTACTCTTTCAACTCTTTCAACTCTGGAACCCTTGAACATTTGAGAGACAAGAATAAATCCATCGCTATTCTACCAATGAGGCAATAGGGCTAAATCCTGCCAGGTACTAGCGGGCTATTAAGGGATACGCGCCGAGGGAAACTAGTTCAGGCACAGGCCGCTAGTTCCTGAGTCATCTGATAGAAAACGGCGAACCCGTGGTCTTGATAGTTATTATTAGTATCGGATTGGGGCAATTTTACGCGAGCAGTGCTGAGTCGAACATACTAGTATATTGTTATATATTGTAAAAGGCAACCAAAGCGGAAACTGAAAGGAAATGTCTTGGACAAAGGTCTCATACTGTTGTGCGGTGGTCTTAGTGGTTGGGTGGCCCGTGTTTCACGATTGCATATGGATGCGATAAGTAATGATAGGCGTTAATTTGTTAGATGGGGGGTTTAGGGTGATCCATAAGAAGGCTATCCAATACTAAAGCCTATGATTGTTAGGAGGTAATAGATGTAATAGATGTACGGAGTAATAAATGATAAATGCCGTGGTTGGGATTGTAATATAAAATCCAAGCTGGGGATGAATAAAAAAAAGAAGCCCCTCCTGATAAGGCCGTAATAGGCTTTGTCAGTGGAGCTATTTTTGAAAAGGTCTCATAATACGGAGTACATAGTATGATGTATATTATCCTATTGAATTTTCTTTTATGGACCCTTGATGCAACCGTAGTTGTGCTCATAACTACGCGAGCTCAATCTGTAACATCTGATCGCCGTGATCGGCTGGAACTATACAGGACGCTTTGGGTAAATGTACGGATTATTCATGTATGGATGTATGGATGTATCGTATCAATACAATGCCACCCGTGGTTGTTTCCAGCCTCATCCGTGTCTCACGACCCGCAAACCCAAGGACATGAGTCTTGGGTGCTCCACTTCCCCCTCATGGAAGATCCCAAAGGGGTCCACTAGACTCGTCCGACCTTTTCTATTTGTCTCAGTGGTTCGCTGGCCTTGTCCGTTCATCCAATCATGTCCTGCCAGTCACTCCCGCCTCCCTTTTTTTAGTAGCGTGTGGCAGTGTAATATATTTCTACTGATATACGGAATATTCCGTACTTTGATATGGAGATAGATATATAAGGCGGTCCCTGTCGTTCCTTCCCAAGGTTCTTACTATAATCCCACTTTCGTTTCCGCTTTCCACGCTCGAGATATTTATATTTAATAGGGTCGCTTCCTGGACTTCCTTTCTTTTCGTGTTCACTCACACTCACTTCTTGACGCGTATCATATCATACAATGCCGTCGTTCATGAAGTTCGCGACTGCGGCTTTCGCCGTGGCTACACCTTTCGTTTCTGCTCAGACTTACTCTGACTGCAATCCGATGGAGACAACATGCCCTGCCAACAAGGGTCTGGCTTCGTCCAGCGCTCACTTCGACTTCACCCAGGCTAGCTCCCTCGACCAGTGGAAGATCAGTGGCGGACAAGTTCCCACTACCGCCAACGGTGCCCAGTTCACTATCAACAAGGAAGGAGATGCTCCTACCATCGTCAGCGATTTCTACTTCTTCTACGGCGAATTGTCCATTGAGATGAAGACTTCTCCTGGCCAAGGCATTGTCAGCTCCGCGTTTTTGCAATCCGATGACAAGGATGAGATTGACTGGGTACGTGACATCGAAATCGGATCATTACTTCCAACATACAGAATAATTGCTAACCGAAATACAGGAAGCATTGGGCGGAAAGACTGACACCGTTGAGACCAACTACTTCGGCAAGGGCGACACCTCGACTTATGATCGTGAGACCTGGGTCCCCGTCAGCACTCCTCAGGACTCTTTCCACACCTACACCATCCAATGGTCCAAGGAGAGTATCACCTGGTTGATCGATGGCGCGAGTCTCCGCACTGTCAAGTACGCAGATGCCCAGGGTGGCGCTCGCTTCCCTCAGACCCCTATGAACATCCACCTTGGTATCTGGGCCGGTGGTGCTCCTACCAACGGACAGGGTACCATTGACTGGGCTGGTGGTTTGACCGACTACTCCAAGGGGCCCTACACCATGTACATCAAGAGCATCACTGTTAACAACGCCAACCCCGCCGAGTCTTACACTTGGTCCGACAAGTCTGGCTCCTCCGACAGCATCAAGTTCACCGGGTCCAACGCCGTGAGCTCTCGCAGCCCTACTACTACTGATGCTGCCACCGTCTCCTCTTCCGAGGCTGCTTCCACTACTGAGTCTCCTTCCACCTCCGAGACTCCTTCTACCACCGAGGCTCCTTCTACTACTACCGAGAGCACTTCCAGCGCTCCCACTACTCTGGCTACCAGGACCTCAATCTCCTCTGCCGAGTCCACTGCCGCTTCTAGCTCTTCATCTGCCGAGTCGACTGCTGAGTCGACTGCTGCTTCTAGCTCCGGTGCTGAATCCACTGCCGCTTCCAGCTCCGGTGCTGCCGGTGCTTCCCCCAGTGGCTCCAGCAGCTCTGGCTCTGGCTCCGGCTCTAGCTCTAGCTCTAGCCCCAGCTCCAGCTCTGGTTCTGGCTCGTCCTCCAGTGCCAGCGCTAGCGCTAGCCCCACCTTCAACGCAGCTGCCTCTGTCGCTGCTACCTACTTGGGACCCGTGTCCCTCCTGGGTCTGGTGACCGCCCTGCTCCAGCTGTAAATGTCCCTTTTGAGCGCTATGATTTTTTGACGCATCATTAATGACACGCTCCTCGAAAGAGGATACTTGGCTGGACCGGGTATGGTAATAGTTGATGGGATGCGATTGTAATTTTTTCTGGCTGTACCATTTTTTTTCCCTTTTCGTTGTCCTTGGCGCCCAAATGCCTGCAACCTATCCTATTTGTTAGGTGGCCCGGATGTGTTAATTGGCATCTTCCGGTAACTGGCGATTTTCTTTGGGCGGACATCATGTATCTATCAGCGTCATACATACTTTGCCATCGAGCAAACATGCAATAATATCAAGTCAATTGACTTTCTCAAGCACTTTAATCTTTTCCATTGTATACAATCGAATCTAGATCTTTCACCGCTTGTTTCTGGTTGCTGTATATCCCTTGACTGTTCATCCCATCGTGCTCGGCTAGGTTATGTACGTTCCAACACCAACACCAGCATCACATTCGCATCAATCATATGCATACCGGTCCTCGCTTCCCTCGGCTTAGAGTCCCACTATGGTCTAACTGCGGACGAACACCTACAGAATCCCGGACCCTGGGAAAATTTGCACCCCATGAACCGTGGATCAGGCTGTTGATTGAACTTGAATTGTAATGGGCCTGATTGTGGATTGGCTGGTGATGAATTGTGCCTAGGCGAAATGTCTGTAGTCGGATTGGTTGGTTGAGTATTGATGTATAGCCGAACCGTGGTTGGCGCAATATCGGATACATTCGTTTCCAGGGGTTTGGGTTTGGTTTACCGGATTTACTATGTTGTATGTATGTATGTACGATGTATTGTATGTGTTTGGGTGTGAATTGTATGTTTTACTTCGTATATCGTAGTAGGTACAACATCCTTCGTAAAAAAAAAAACAATCGTAAATGGTAAAATACTGTCGTGGCTCGTTATTGCGTCTAACTCATCTCATCTCATGTTCTCGGATAGAAACGCCCAAAGTGCAAAGAAAAAAAAAAGTAGTCCAAATAGCTTGAAGAAAACCCTTCAACTGAAAACTCGATCAACTTTCGGACCCTGACAAAAATCCGGGATTCTCCTCAGGGTCCCCAACCCCCGTGGAGACCTCAATTCACCAAGTGGACCCAGCCCCAGTCGCACGTCGCACATCCTTTAACTGGCGTGATAACCGCAACACCGAGTCAGCAACAGGACGGTGGTGCGTGGCCGCGACCCTGAGCAAGGCAAGAGTTGCGGCGGGCCGGGGTGTAGATGTGGGTTCGGTGGATGCGGTAGAGGACACGGCAGACGATGACGACTCCGTCAGTGCATCTGCATTGGCATCTGCATCTCCTGACGATCGCCCCCGGAACAAATATGCCCCGAAGGGTCCCAGCGGGAGCGAATCGAGTACGGAGTATAGCCTATCGCTGCTGCTGTCCTCAGATGCAGATCGGTGATTGTGCAATGTTGAACTCCGCCGTTCTTCGCGTGTTACGATCCCGTCCACCGCTTCGAGGTGGTCGTCTATTGTTATGAATCGCGTGCTGAGGGAGTCTGCTTTGCTGCGGATCTGCGCGCGCAGTCGGTCTAGATACTCTTCGCGTCGTCGCAGCTGTATCGCGAGTCGTGTGTCTAGAGCTGCGGTGCCGCTTATTTCGGTTGCTGGTCGGGAGGCGAGCAGGCTGTCGATTGCGGAGCGTAGGTCGGCGCGGAGAGAGTCGAATTCCCAGACTGCTGTTTGGACGGCTTGGTTGCTGCCGGTGAATTCGAGATCCAGCGCGTTGCGGGCGTCTGGGAAGGTTGTTTTCAGTTGCGATTCTAGGTCAGCGAGCATGCTTTCGCTTTGTTTGAGGATTGCGGATAGAGGTGTGAGGGTTTCGAGGGCCGTGTCGAATATGGATTCTAGCTGGCGCTGGGCGGTTGCGAGAGTCTCCTCTCGGGGTGTTGTGGATGGAGGGTAGGCGCTGCGTGGTTGGTATGCAGGGAGGGTGATGCAGCTGTTGGGGTAGAGAGTCTTGATGCTTGGGATACGGCAGAGGTCTTTGGCTTGGTAGACTACCTCGGGGAGAACTAGCAGATGCAAGATAAAGGCGATCAACACTGCGTTGACTGCTTTGCGGACGAGGGCACTATGGCCACGAAAGATGGATTTGCATTTCACGACTAGGCTTGCTTGTTTGGTGGGGGTCGTCTCTGCAGACAAACCAGCATCTGCATCTCCAGCTTTAGTGGTCTGGTCTTGCTCTTTCTGCTTTACATCATTCGGCGTGGACACTTTGCGTCGTTTTTTCATGCTTTCTGGGCCTTGCTGCATCGGAGTCCGTACATATTCTACCCAAGACCCGTCTATGTTAGGTGCTTCGCAGATAGAGGGCATGATGAGCTCCGGGCCTGATATAGTCCATGATGATGAGGATGTGGGTGACTCTGCTGACGGATTGGCCGTCTTTCTGGTCGCTTTGTCGCTTTCATGCCGGCGATTTCGAGTTTTGGTGGGGTCTTTTTCCTTCAGAGAAACAGTTGATGCTATCACCCAGGATTCGCCAAGAGCTGAGCGATCTGGGGTACGAGGCTGTTCTGTAGACATGGCGTAAACATTTCAGCAAGGAAAATGCACTTTGTGTAATGGTTAATAGTTCTGTAGTTAATATCTCATGACTCGGAGTGTTTCAACGTATGTTTGATTGCGACTGGCTCAATCAGACCGCACGCGTAAAGCGGTGGGGAAGAAAGATCGGAGAAACGCGGCCGAGGAATTGAGAACCTTCAGCAACCATGCGCTCATTACTTCGCTTGAGACCGTCCTTGCCTGGCGTTCGATCTCTGCCATGGCAATTTGCACGATCGCGACCGCTGTCATACACAGCGATTCGCGATTGCTCGTGTTCTGATAAACCGGAAGCTCCCACGATACCTCCCACCGACCATCGAGCTATTGGAACCGCCCAGGAGCTCTTCACATCTTCAGTCTACAGTCCTGGATCTCCTTTATTCCTCCCGAATGGCACACATGTTGTCAACAAACTCATCTCCTTCCTCCGCACACAGTACCTACAATATGGCTTCCGTGAAGTCCTGACTCCGATCATCTACAAAAAGTCGCTCTGGGAGATATCGGGCCACTGGCAGAACTACAAGGATGATATGTATGAGGTGACCGGCCGAGGAGCTAGTGGTGAGGCAGAGGGCGAAGTGGGTGAAGACGAATCCTACGGACTGAAGCCAATGAACTGTCCCGGCCACTGCCTACTCTTCAAGTCGCAGAATCACTCCTACCGCGACATGCCAGTGCGCTATGCAGACTTCAGCCCGCTGCACCGCAACGAAGTGTCCGGGTCGCTATCTGGCTTGACGCGCCTGAGGCGTTTCCATCAGGATGATGGACATCTGTTCTGTAGACCGCAGCAGATCAAATCGGAGATTGCATCGGCGCTGGGATTTGTGGATATGGCTATGAAGACATTTGGACTCGGTCCGTATCGATTGGTGCTGTCAACCAGACCCGAAACGGATTATATTGGGACTTTGGAAATGTGGGATAATGCTGAGACGCAATTGCGCGAAGCTCTGGATAGCACCGGACGCGAATGGGCGCTGAATGAAGGCGATGGTGCGTTTTACGGCCCCAAGATCGACATCCAGCTCCAGGATCAAGCTGGAAAGTACCACCAGCTATCAACTATCCAATTGGACATGAACCTGCCACAACGATTTGAGCTGGAATATCAAGTTGCAGAGGGGGAGCCGGACTACAATCCAGCCACGCCCGGAGTTGCAAGACCAGTTATGGTTCACCGCGCCATTTTCGGCTCCTTGGAGCGGTTTTTGGCGTTGCTGATTGAACAGCACGGTGGTCACTGGCCATTCTGGCTTTCTCCGCGCCAGGCCATTATCCTGACGGTTAACCAAGACGATGCTGTTGTGCGCCGAGCTCAAGAAGCGGCCGCCAAGTTCGCTGGTTTCCGCGCATTGCTGAATGATGGTAGCGCCGAGTCACCCCGTCCACTGTCCTCTGTCGACTCTACGTTCTTGGTGGACATCGATACCAGCGCACAGACCCTGGGCAAGAAGATTCAGCGCGCCAAACAGATGAAGTACAACCTCATCTTCATTCTCGGACCACGGGACCTGGCCGATGGTGGCATCTCCGTTGATGTTACTGGGCAGATGAAGAGCAAGACGGATAAAAATGCTCAGACATTGCAGGCGCTGATCAAAGCCAGACTAGGCGATGATGCGCTGCAGAATCCTCGAGCTATCAAGCTTAGTGTGGACGAAGTTCATCCGCTATTGGTGGAACTCGAGAAGAACTTTGTGTAACTTTGTATGTTGTATAACTATATGTGTTGTCATTTTGAGCGTGCCTGACTGGATCTTTGCCCTATCATTGTATATTAGACCGATCTTTTCCGAATCCAAGTCATCATTCCACCTGATGCACACAATAATTCCAAACAATGCCTGCGGCTATCCGCGGGGTGGATGCCTCAGGAGACACCACTCCGATGTTCGGGCCCCTATGGAGACGGGCACAGTATGTAGATATTCGTTGCATATGACTGTCAAATGAAGTAAAGGGAACATAAATGATATTAATTGACATTGGCAATCTGCCAGCGGTATTTCAATTTCATCATCAAGTCACTTGCAGATCTTCACGCCCTGTGGTCGACAATATACACATCACGTGACTCCGCTGTCGGCGCCGAAAAACTCGGCGTCATTGACGGGCCCATTTGAGTCACAGCATATTCCCCATTCTTAATTGGCCTTCTTTTCTCTTTTGCTATAAAAGATTCCCCGTGTCCATATTTTGGAAGCCATTTTCTGCTTTTAATCACATCAATATCGAGTCTGCTTGGCTCAGCTATAACGACACCCTACCTTTTATCGTCTCTTATCCACTTGTGCCCCCGCGGTGCCCCGCCAACACTATGCCGATGTATGTTGCGATGACTCCAATTCGGTGTTCCTACATACTAATCTCTTGAAGGCTCAAGGATCCCTCAAAAAAGTACAAGCCCTTCAAGCCGGTGAATCTGCCAAATCGCCAATGGCCCAATAAAATTATTGACAAGCCTCCTCGCTGGCTGGCAACTGATCTGCGTGATGGCAACCAGTCTCTGCCGGACCCAATGGTATGATATGATGTACTGCGCTCAATGCTGTTTCCCATATTGATTGGATTGGATCTATAGGATGGCGAGCAAAAATACCGTTTCTTCAAGATGCTCGTGGATATTGGTTACAAGGAAATCGAAGTGTCCTTCCCTTCCGCATCCCAAACGGACTTCGACTTTACCCGCCGTCTGGTAGAAGAGCCCGGTCTCACACCCGATGATGTCGCCCTGCAGGTCCTGGCCCCCTGCCGTGAGGATCTCATCCGTCGCACAGTCGACTCCCTGAAGGGCGCCAAGAAGGCTATCCTCCACATCTACCTCGCAACGAGCCCCTGTTTCCGTCGCATAATCTTCAACATGGACCACAAGCAGAGTCTGGAGATGGCTGTCAAATGCACAAAGTATGCCCGCTCTATCACCAAGGACGACCCCTCCCAGGCCGGCACAGATTGGCAATTCGAGTTCTCCCCCGAGACTTTCTCCGATACCGAGCCCGAGTACGCCGTGGAGGTCTGCCAGGCTGTGAAGGCTGCCTGGGGACCCACGGAGGAGAAGCCCATCATATTTAACCTGCCCGCCACGGTAGAGATGGCCACCCCCAACGTCTTTGCTGATCAGGTCGAGTACTTCTGCACAAACATGACTGAGCGCGAGAAGTTTGTTGTCTCAGTCCACCCGCATAACGACCGTGGCTGCGCTGTTGCCGCCGCTGAACTGGCACAGATGGCTGGTGCCGATCGTGTAGAGGGTACTCTGTTCGGCAACGGTGAGCGTACCGGAAACGTGGACCTGGTTACTCTCGCCCTGAACCTGTACACACAAGGTGTCTCGCCAAACGTCGACTTCTCGGACATCAACTCTGTCATCAAGGTGGTAGAGGAGAGCAACAAGATCCCAGTCAACGAGCGTGCACCATATGGTGGTCAGCTCGTGGTGTGCGCATTCTCTGGAAGGTTCGTTGTCCTTTCTTTTTCCTACGTTATTCGCTTTGCTAACCTATTTCGAATCCAGTCACCAAGATGCAATCAAGAAGGGCTTCAAACTGCGCCAAGATGGCGAGGGCGCCGACGAGGAAACCGAGTGGGAAGTCCCGTACCTCCCCCTGGATCCCCAAGATATCGGCCGTACCTACGAGGCAGTCATCCGTGTCAACTCCCAAAGTGGCAAGGGTGGCGCCGCCTGGATTATCCTGCGAAGCCTGGAGCTGGATCTCCCTCGCGCTCTGCAGGTCGAGTTCAGCAAGATCGTGCAGGAGAAGACCGAGGCTGTCAGCCGGGAGCTGAAACCTACCGAGATCGTCAACCTCTTCGAGGAGGCCTACCACCTCAAGTCAAACCCCCGCTTCACCCTTGTCGACTACAGCATCACCACCGACCGCTCGCAGTCCCCTGCTCCTCCTGAGCCCGGCAAGGCCCTCAACACCAAGAACCTCAAGCGTCGCTTCACCGGTATTATCGAGATCGACAATGTTCAGCATGCCATCACCGGTGTCGGCCCAGGTGCTATTTCCTCCCTGGCTACCGCTCTTTCTACCCTCGGTATTGATCTCGATGTCCGCGACTACAAGGAACACTCCATTGGTCGCGGTCGCGACACCAAGGCTGCTACCTACATTCAGTGCACAGCAGCCGGCAGCAATCAACAGGTGTGGGGTGTTGGTATCCACCAGGATGTGGTCCAGGCCTCTCTGATTGCGCTGCTTAGCGCCGCCAGCTCGGTAAGATCTGTTCCTGATTTGTCTGCATCTCACCACTAACATGCGTTTAGTTCCTCACCTCCCGGGCTGGTTCTCCTGCTCCTTTCCGTCCCATCCGCTCCAACACCCTCACCAACGAGGACATCGAAGCTCTCGAGCAGTTGACCAGCACTCCAGAGGCTGTTACATCTAACGGCGGTCTGAGCGCCAAGGCCAACATCGAACAGCTGACAAAAAAGGCTGAAAATTTGTAAAAAAAAGTTTAAGAAAAGCAACCGACTAAAAGTGATAGCGATAATGTGAATACCATGAACAATTTGAATCAATATTTTCTTCAAGGATTGCTCTTCAGATGTAACATTGACTTAGCTGAATATAGTAGAGTTGAAATTCGTGGTCATTGGCTAGTTATGCATATCCACCGACATTTTCACTCATGTCAAGCTATAAAAGACCAGAGACATTCGAGCTCACCACCCAAACAACTCATCCAAACTCCATCCTCTCTTTGCACTGGCCCCATAAGCATTGAACGTCTGCGGCCCCTCAGCCGAAATAATATACCCATTCTCACAAGACGAGAACGAGACCTTCGGCTGATTCGCGTAGAAGGTATCGAAGCCCGAGTCCAGCGCATCAGCAAGACTGTTCACTTTACCGGCTGGGTGTAGCTGGCGCCAGGGGTATCGACATGCGTCACCTTCGCAGGACTTGAGCACTAGCATGAGTGCGTCCAATCGCGCTATTATTTGTGGCAGCTCGCGATTTGCA